CGTGTAAAAGGCATGCGGCCTGTTGAGGCCTTTACCAGTTTATATTAAGTTCCTAATGGTATAAATATGTGGGAAAAAAATTCCGAACAAGCGAAAAGTTTTAAAGTACCGGGTGCGGATCTCATAAGAGAAAAAAGTACGATGCCATCTGTTGACTTCAATAATCTTCAGTAATGTGTATCTTTGGAGTGACGTTCATGTAGCGCCATCTGATGCCATGGGATAAAGCAATGGCATAACTTTGAAGAAGTAGATTCTCCTTGAGATAGTTTCTTGAGACAAATTCTATTTAGCATAAATACAGTGAAGAGCATAAAAAAGTTGCAAAAGGAGAAACAATTTTGTACAGGTATTTGTGCGTAAACAATTCTATCGGGACTCGAACCGGTCATGCAAAGTTTCCAAGTGTTTGTCTTATCTACCACGCTATAGAGCTGTCGCATACAGAATATAATACAATATATGCAAATACAGTCCACAAAACCTGCTATATTAGATACAAAAATCTTCTTTGCAAGGTACGAAATAAAAACTTGGTTAAATATGAATAAAACATAAAATTTGTTTAAATGAAAAAATATTAGATAATATAAACAAGCCCTACCATTTAGAATTATGATGAATAGTGCGAGGTCATTTATGATTTTGTTCTATGACGTAGTCATAATTGTCTAATTTCTTATGATTTCCTTGTTGTGTTGTCATATTTGAGGAAGAATTATGCGAGAATTTAGAATTTTGAGTATGTAGGTTTAATCCTAAGGTCATTATGCAGAGTGGAGTTTCTTACGAACCAGTGAGCATTGGCTATGATTCTCAAGGCTTTATTTTGTATTCTTTGAATTTTCAATCTGTTCGTACGAGTGGTAGAAGCCATTAACTGGAGAAGCATAGACTGGTATAGGTCTTAAGGCTTGTAAATATAAAATTCTTTTAGTAGCGATGCTATAAGTGTCTGCCTATAATGCATAAAGACTTCCAATAGCTTTGTTTGCTTTTTGTAAGATTAAGGGCCCTAGTCTGGACACCGTCGAGATAGAAGAACGGGTCGTTTCTTGCGATCTACTCGACAGAGAGCGAGTCTGGTATCATCGTCTCGATCATTACAGTGATCGACGCGTCGGAAACTTTTCCGTCAGCTGGACAGCTGCCGTTTAAGTTTCTGACTGTCGTTTTAGAGCTAAACTGTGGACGGCGGAGGTCACGAATTGTTTCTGAAAGTGTACGTAATAGATATTTTAATTTCTTAAGATTTGTGAAAAACTCGAGTATTTCGTTATAGAAATAACGCATTTGATGCTGACGATTCTACATTATTTATTTATTCTACATTACCAATGCCTTAATTAAATTTTAGTGAAAATAATATATTTAGTGTTTTCCTATTTCACATGTAAAGAAGGGGTGCATACTTTTAATTTAAAATTGTAATTTTTAAACTAATGTATATATATCAATGTACTTAATTTCATGTTTTGATGAGTAATTTATAAATTTATAAATTTTATGTTTTAAATTATAATGTATTTCCCTCTACTTTTATTTGAATTTGTAGTGTATAAAAATGTAATACATTAGACATGCATTAAAGAATATGCAGTATATAATTCAAACTATGCACATCCTAAATTCAACATTTACATTAAATTGCTTTGAGTTAAAAAATTTATTTAAGTAATTTTAACTGTACCGATATCAATGTCAATTTCCAATAGTTTCTAGAATCTCCTGTATAAAACAAGTTAAATTCCTGTATAATTTTCGGTTAAATTCTTGTCAATATTATAATGCAAGATTTATAATTAGTTATCAGATTTTTTAATGTGGTCTACTTTTAGATATTACATCAGTTTTGTGTATATTTATTCAGATCTAAAAAGTGCTTAGTTTTGGTTTTATATAATTACGGCAAAGCCTCGAGGGCTTATCTGCCTAAAGTGAGGGTTGCCTTTGTGGAGGACATTCTAAGGAAAACTAGCTCGTATACACGTAAGACATGGGCAAAACCACGAAAACGTCCATGCAACCAGCCCATTCGCGGGATTCCAAACTTGGACCGAACTTCTAGTGTTCAGCCATTTTACCGGCCGCTGGTGGGATCGATTAAAAAAGGGTATAAATATATATGTACTGCAATTTCTTTCACTGCATCTGTTAATATATGCATACAGTTATATAACAGATTTTCTGTGCCTTAAACTTCTATGCTTCTGGAAGTTACCAATGACATATTGGTAATGACAGATACATTGGTAATGACGCCCCTGCGTCCAGCCCGTTCGCGGGAGTCGAACCTCAAACCGCACTACCAGTGTTCGGAGATTTTACCGCTCGGCCACTAGTGGGATCGACTTAAAAAGGGCATAAATAGGAATATGTACTGCAATTTCCTTTCACTGCATATATTAATATATTTATAATACATTTATATATACATATAGTTATTTATTTAAAACAGATTTTGTATGCCTTAATTTTTTATGCTTTTGGAAATTACGAGAAATATGTTGGTAATGACAGATATATTGGTTATCAGAGATATGTTGGTAATGCAACAAACCCGTTCGCAGTATCTGGACGAACTACCTGTGTTCAGCAATTTTACTACACGGTCACCGGTGGGATCGATTTAAAAAGGGTATAAATAGGAATATGTATTGCAATTTCCTTTCACTGCATATGTTAATATATGCGTGTGTGTGTGTGCAGGATAATATCTTTTATGATTTGACTATAGTTATTTAATTTTTCTTCCTGTTACTTTTGTTAAAAGTTTGTTATATTTTTACTCACTGCTTATTGGTATCTACGATACATAGTATATTTGTAGCTACGTGAGAGGTATAACTCCTGAATAAATAAAATTATTAATATGATCATGGGTTGCTAAAAATTAAAAAATTTTTTCGATTTAAATTCATTAGGAATATTAAACACGCGTACGCGGTGCTATATTTCAATGATTTGACTTATGACGTTGTTGCATAACCTTTTCAGACAAAATAATGTATTTTAATCATAAAATTCCTGTTAACAAATAGTTTACAAACATGTAACCTTTTAGAAAATTTCCATTTTGCAAAAGATCATACGTAAAATTATGTTTACGTTTCTTCACATACCTGAAGTTTTGAAAAGGCCATTTCTTTCTACGTTTAAAATATCCATCAACGTTCCCCGTTTCTTTTTTCCATACTCGTTACTAAATCCAGCAGCGTATTTTTTCGAAAAATTTCACCATTTACTCGAACTCGATTATTTTTTCTACCGCCATCCTCAGTAAAGCACGTGCGAAACAGCCCCTTTGACAACAAACTACCCCCTTCTCCTGAGCCACGGAGTATAATGTGTCCTGAGCCTGGAGCAATGTAGAGGTGAGATAGACTGGTTGCTATGCAATAAAAGTCACTTCCGCACGGAATCTAAACTTCCGTCGACGGAATTTGAATTCCGTCGACGACTTTTCTGCCGACGGAATTTGAAGGGGCCAGAGCAAGTAGAGTCGGTGTTGGCCAGAGTCGCTCTCCCTTCTGCTGTCGAATCGAAAGAGAATCCCGACTGGTTTTCCGATATCGATCTCAACCGGTGTCCAGACTAGACCCCATAATTGATGTGATTTTGAAAGGTTAATAATAACAACAGGTGTTTGAGTGAGGTATCACGTGCTATTTCAATATTTTTAAGTTTGATATTTTTAAGACGTTTTTTGGGGGAGTGTTTTGAAAATAAACAACAGTATATTTTTCAGCGTTGATTTTTATCTTCCAGGCTTCAAACCATGGGTAGTTTACATGAGATGAGATCACTTGGAGTCACGTGATATGAACCGGCGAATCAGGATGTTGAGCCATGAAAGCATAATAAATTCTTAAATTAATGTCTCTTTACAAATTTATTGTCTTTATTTATTGGTTTTTTACAAAATTTTAAACAATATTAAAATGTTCGTACATTCAAAATAAAAAAAAAAACCCTTAGAACTAACATTTGTTAACATTTTTTATGCGTATATTGTATATTGTCGCCAATAAAGTCTGCTTGGCGAAATTTGCGCCGGCGAAACGGAAAAGTACCGTTGTTTCATCGTTGTTCTTTGAAGCATATCCAATGTAAACAGTTCTTAGAACAATAAAATTGAATAATCTTTTTGTTACCATTCCAAAAACAATAAAAAACAAACAAAACGATATGAATCATTATTTAAAATTTCTGCATAAGTTCAAGCCACAACAGAGCTGTAGCATACTTATGCCAGTCATTAATAAAGGCTCTGTCAAAGAATATGCATTGTATAGACGTTCTTTGGCTCTGTTATATGGTGTAGTATAACAACTGATATCCAGAATTAATTTAACCGGATTATGATCCGACGAAAGTTTATCCAGCAGCTCGAACATCCTAGGACTGCAAGAAAGCTACTTGGTTGATCCTCTCTGTATTCATATGCTTGTCTCAAAGTATATGAATATCTAAGTATATGCCGTATTAAGGCGAAACCTGGACGGTTCATTAAATCAGTTATAGTTCCTTTCATATCAAGGATTTTTTGTACATTTCGAATACTTTGATATTTAAAATGAGGAATAATTAAACTTCTAACTGAGTTTGCCATTAATTTATGGCTTCTTCTCATGTTTTTTTCAGGGATATTCTTCGGAGAACAGCCTTAAAGCAAATTCAAATATCCAGAAATAAATGTGAACCGCTGTATAAAGAGATTATCCAACATAAATAAGAATAATTTAAATGCATTCTATTTTAATTATTAAGTTCATTAAATTACCCCAAAGTAAGTATTAGTTCAACATTCAAAATGTTACGTATCATTGTTTAAAACTGATTTTTTTCACCTATCTACCAAAGATATTCCTAATGTTACCCGAAAAAATATGGAATGCTCTTTCCATGTTCTCACAAATGTATCGAAACCATTTTAAAACAATAACTCAACCTGTAATATTTACAAATAATTATTAGAAAATCTGTTCAACTGCGCAGACTCGCAATCGCATTACAACATTCAAATTGTTTTATTATCTCATAATACTGACCTTTCGGAAATGACGAAGGATGTTTTCTTAAAGCTTTTGACAGACAGGATTCTTTTGAGAGTGGCATCGTGATGGCGGTTGTTGAAGTTGGCAGCTTTATGAAATTTTATTGTGTATCGAGCTTCTCCGGATCTGTTGCGGAATTTTGAAAAACGGGAATAATACTTCCCATAATATCGGGATGGTTTAATATTTAAGCGCTGTATTACGAGTTACACTCGTGAAAGAATTAATGATTCTGTGAGTGTTGTTATACTTTTACCATGTTCAATTATTTCATTCTGATTTCTCTGCGTATTTATTTTGAATAAATTTTCGTTTCATTTCTTTCACAGAATAATGCAAGTGAAAAGTATTTGCTGATTTTTGCTTAAAAAGTGCACATTTGAAGAAAGAAACTGGAATCGTAGTGTTAAATAGTCTCGATGTATTTTATCCGAATGCAATAAAATTCAGGTAAGAAATCTGCCTTGTCAAAAGAAGATATAATTTTTTAAATTTCTGTAATTAAACGAAATAAAAACAGTTTATGTAATAGCTTGGAAAGTTTAAATTTAGTATTTCTGCTTGTTTTCCCACGTTGACTGCTTTCCCGATCTTTTCATTTTATGAATATAGTATTTGCCTTGAAATGTTTATGTCAGTGATTACAAAGCTTTTGTGTATTAAAAAAGGTAACTCTGCTTATTAAAATTTGTCATAATCTAGACGATATAACTCCTCAAACTTCTGAATATTCTTTATTATGCGAAAATTATTAAAGTACTTCGTAATAAAAAGATTATTGCAATTTATAGTTTTCAAATAGGTTTACTAGATAAATATTATTCAGATGTTATTTAAATAGTTAATATTTTTATTTCTGTTGCATATTTCGTAACATTCACTTGAAATGATATCAGATAATGAAATTTGTTATGGCCTAAGAATTGTCACAGAATTTATTCTTGGGATAAAAACCCGTATTTGTATGAGATTTTTTCAGTGTACAATGAGGTCTTTAATTTTAAAGAATAAATTGAATGAGTAAAGCTCATCAGAATTCTGAAGCTGATTCTGTTATGTAAAGTAAATGTTTGGGTTTTGTGCTTCAAATCAAACAATGCGTAGCATGGCATAATTAAAACTAAAATGAACACTGACAGCAGCCTAAATTTAAGTATTTTTTCACGATGCAACGTCTTGGGGGAAGGATCATGAACCCATGAAAATTCGTTATGCTTACCACATGGAAAACAAGTTTCAACTTATAATGTTAGTGTTTCAAGTAGAAGTGGTGAATTTTTTTTCTTTTTTACACAACTAACGTACAAACCAAGTTTTCTTTCAAACCTCTTTTTCTCGTGGGCATAGAGAACAGTCAGAGGATTACCTGGTAGATGGATTTTTAGTTCATTTAAATCAGAATACATCTGTAAGCTATGCCAGTGTAATTTACCCATGTGTTATCAGCAAAAAATTATATGAATTATTTGTTTATTTTGTTAACAAATAACAGGACTTCATGCTATAGTTCAAAGAGCCTTGTGAATGCTTACCATTAAAAGCCAGTTAACTTTAGAGTAAAAAAGCAGCTGTTTTTGCTTGTTACACATGTTATCACAGAATAGTGAAAATAGCTATTCAGACATTTTGCTTTAAAATAAATAAATTTAATAAAATCTATTATCTTATGGCTGTTTTGAATTTAGATGACATCTTTTTGCTTTTGTCGAGGCTTCTGGGTGAATGAAACAATGGGTCTAGGTAACATCAGGTGCCACAGCTTTGATTTTATCTACAAGGCCACTATGCCTATCGAAGAGTACATGAGCCTCATGTGCTACAGCAACCTGCTAGTTTTTGTTTGGACGCCATTTTGTTTTCACGAAGTACAGGCCCCCCCTTTTTTTTTTTTTTTTTACTCAACATTTTTTTCCCAACAATCTGCTAGCCGAATTACGCTTATGTGCTAGAAATTTTATGGAACAAAAGTGCTTAATCATGACAAAGATTAGGTGCGAAATTGGGGCAGAGTACAGAATCGCCCACTGCTTGCCGCGTTTTTAAGAATTGCACATACACGGTATCATCCATTTACACGTCGACCTATTTTCACTTAAAAAAACATCCCAGAATTGCACAAAAATGGCATTGCGCACACTCTTGACTTTATCCATGTACACTACTAAAGTCCTAGCTAGTAACCTTTATTGTCTTACTAAAATGTTGCCAAACTACCTGTTACCATATTCCAAAGATTAGCCGTTTCTTTATGAGCAGCTAAAAGTAGAATTAGATTTTCCTAATGGCACTATCATCAGTATTAATATTGTATTTTATATATAAATAGGTAGATGGTTTTTGTGTAGTTTATATGTGAAATTGTTCTAATTTTGTGTATAATGTAACATGAAAAATCTAGAGAGACAATGCAATGTAGGAAAAGTAAGAATACAGGGGCAAGTCTATTTAACATTGAGTAAATGCTATCTTGCATTTACTCAATGTTAAATAGTTAAATTAATAAAATTGTTGAGAGTAATGTATGCAGATTTTTCATTATTTAATTTTTTCAAACAAAATGCAGGACTCTAACATTTGATGGCAACAGTTTGAAAAGTGAAACGGACATTTATAGTGAATCGAAGCAAAATCGCAAAATGAAAGCAATAGTCTTTGAGGGACAAAGCCCCTTTGGACTACTAAAAATCAGCATAAAGCTAACTGTTAGTAAAATTTAAACAAAAAGTTGCTTAACTTCTTTAAGCTATGTGGACATTAGTATAAGTGTAAAATATAAATGTTTCAAGAAATTTTATATTTAATGCTAATTATTCAAAAAAAATTATGAAGTTAATTTTATTCTTGAATTTATTTTAAAATTAAGTTAAATATTAGATTAGGTGTAATGATAATGCATCCTATTTGCAGATTTATTTTATTTTTACGAAAGTGAAATTCAGGTGTTGTTAATTGTTTTAGATTATTCAGTTTGAATTTGTTTAGAGATCCTTAATTTTTTTTCATTGGCAGTCCTTAAAAAGTCCTTAAGATACTTAATTTCCGCATGCAGAATTGTGTACAAATTCTGAGAGACTTCAGGAATATAACATTAATATCTGTCATCGGAAAGAATCATCGCATGGAAACGTCAATGCCCTATCTAGAAGACCCTGCCCAGAAAGCTACTGATATTATACCAGGGTCGAAGTGAAATTTGAGCTGCTAAGTCTGGTTGTATGTCAAGTTATGAATCCAAGATCATCTGACCCAGACCCATGAAGTTATAGAGAAGTCAATAAAGACCAGTTGGAAGATAGTGACATTAAACCATAATTGAATTTATGAAGTCTTCAAACAGGAAACCTACCTGGCAGGACATTTCTAACATTCCTATGACAAAATGGTATTGGGCTCTCTGGGATTCACTCCCTATTCGAAATGGCATTTTGTACAAGAAGTTCGAATCAGGTGATGGAAAGCTATTTCGCTGGCAGCTGATACTTTCGACATCCCAGATCCCAGACATCTTTATATAATTACATAGCAGCCTTCAGAAGACTACTTCAGAATAATGAAGACTTTCCAGAGAGTTTGAGAATGCTTTTACTGGAGTAATGCAAGGGCTGATGTGCAAAGTGGTGCCAATTATGTAATGCTTCTGCTGGTTGGGAAGGAACAAAGAAACGCAGCAGAGGGGGAACTGCAACATTACAATGTAGGAGCGCCTTTTGAGTGCATCACCTTTGGCATCCTGGATCCTCTGCTACAAAGTGCTTAATGGCAACAAGTATATCTTCACTGTCATTGATTACTTCACCAAGTGGCCTGAGTGTATCCTGTTCCTGACAAGAGGCTGTCATGGTAGCAGAGGTAATGATACAGAATTGGATTTCTAGGTTTGGAGTGCATCTTCAGTTACATTCCGATCAAGGCAGAAATTTTGCATCGGCCATAATTAAAGAACTCTGTAAGCTACTCAACATCGACAAAACCTAAACACCATCTTTACATCCCCAGTCATATGGCATTGTTTAATCGAACCATCCATAATAGCCTCTCGTTGGTGGTTTCCAGAAACCAGCAGGACTGGGACAAGAAGTTATCACTGTTCTTACTGGCCTATCACAGTGTTGTCCGTGAGACTACTGGCTATTCCCCATCCCAGATGCTCTTCACTTGTGACCTTCGTCTGCCCTGTAATCTCTAGTTTGGTCCCCCTCTAGATGCACCTTCATCGCCTGAGAAATACATCCAAAACCTCCAGGCATGGTTTGAAGTGATGCACAATTTTGCATGAGAGAGAGTCAATGTGGGGATGGAGAAAATGAAGACCCGATACAACTTGGAGCTACAGGACATCGATTCAATAAAGGAGATAAGGTGTGGTTATGGAATCCGATTCAATGAAAGGACTCTCTCCTAAACTACAGTCACCTTAGGATTGTTTTTACACAGTCAGGACAGGCTTTACAACATGGTAGTTTGGATCCGTAAGTCATCAAATTCGAATTCTAAGCCTAAAGTTATTCATTATGGTAGGCTAGCCCCTTACTATGGCCATAGAATATAGTCATCATAGTGTATACAGTCAGAAGTCTTTAATCCGGCTTATTATTTTTTTGCAGACTTTTAGAGCAATTTTATAAAAGTAAGTTTGAACTTTCAATTATGTCAAAAAGAATTTCCGATTCTGGAGCTGCCAAAGGATCTACAAAGCGAAAGCATGTTTCGATGTCCATCAAACAAAAAGTGGAATTGCTACAAAAAATGGATAAAGGCATATCCTTTGTTTCTCTAACCATTCCGAAATCTGTTTATCAATTTCATGCACTGCTCTGCGGATGGGGGGGGGACGTCACGGCACGCAATGAGTTGGAAGTTGATCTGTCAGCACTATCCTTACCTTCAGGGCAGATGTTTTTATTTTATTCGGCTTATAATTCCTTACTAAATGTAGTATTTCATCTCAATGTACTCCGTCTTTGATATGATTTAAATCAAATTCCTCATCATTATAAATATCACGAATACACATCAAATAGTTTTCTGGTTGATACAGTCAAAAGTCGTTAATTCGGACACCCATAATCAGGACCTCAAAGCTACAAACTTTCTGCACATGAGTCGCGTTCACGCATGCACGTAAGACCTTTACGGCTGCGAATATGTGTGTGCGCATGCGCATAATACGTTTACGCATGCGCGTTTAATGTATAACGGACGGTCTAAGCCAAGCTAAAATTATCTAATTCAGTTAATGTTGCAGATTACGTTGTTCCTTAATCTTCAAATTGGATCCAGCTTATTATTTTTTGCAGACTATTGGAGCAATTTTATAAAAGTAAGCTTGAACTTTCGATTATGTCAAATAGAATTTCCGATATATATTTACTAATATGTAAAGGATCTACAAAGCGAAAGTATGTTTCAAAGTCCATTAAACAAAAAGTGGAATTGCTACAAAAAAATGG